CTCATATAATTGTTGTTGAGTTGGTAGTTTATATTCAGTGATCATAATCCTACAAACTGCTTTTACCAAAAAGGAAAAGATAGTACTAATTATGCACCAAGGGTTGCATGTATGGATGAGATTTCAGCAGTTATGTTAATTATGTATTAATTTTTGCATATTCTCCTGTGCTATAATTATTAGAAATTTCTGCCGTTTGCATACTTTACAATGGAGTTGGTTTTTATCAGTTAAAAATTGCTAGTTTTAATCTCAGTCGTGTGAAATTTTCATTTTTTGTTCTTCAAGTGGTTACATTGAGAATTGTGATTCAGGCGAAAAGTTAGTCTATCATATCCTGTTGAGGATGAAGATGCTGAAGAGGAGGCAGATCAAGTTGTTCCTTATGGTGTTGAAGAGGTAGAATTAGCAAGAATCGACCTTGAACAAAAAGAACGTGTCGTAAATACAATCCTGGATGACATTAGGAAATTATCCCTTTGCAATGATGCATCTGGGGAAGCTTACTCTGAGAAGGAATTCGAAGCATGGATGGTAACTGGTGGAAGATCTGTATTGGTAAGAAATACAGTTTTCTGTGCAGTATGAGTGCACATTATTTAGTGCCAAATTCCTGCAATTTTTTTATTTCTTAGCACCATCCTAATTGTATTTAGTGGTAGCTTTTTCATATATGGGGATATCACTTGCTGAAAATGCCATTATAATTGGTTAGACAAGTTAGTCTTTTTTATTGAGACAGTGTGCTCTGCATCCAGTTTATACATTTGTGGTTAAATATATTGATGAATATAAATGTAATTATAAACATGACCTATCACACTTTGTATCAGATGAATCTGTTTTCTGTTTGCCTTTTTTTCAAGAAAATTAATGTTTCTGTCAAATTGCTTTTCTGGAGAATTTATAAGATCATACCTCACATAATTGCATATTTGAAGCTTAGGATTGGCTGTATAGACAAGCCTTTAGCTAAAGAGCTAATAGCACCTTGTTTCTTCTTTATTCTTTCAAGTTCTCTATTCAGGAAAAATAACCTACTGCAAAGGACTTCTTGATTCACAGCTGGTTTTGCTTCTTATCTTCTTTTGGTAGTGCACTTCTCAGCTTGAGATCTCGATTTCCCAAAGTTCCATCCATTTTTGCTTGGTTTTATTTCATTCACAGAGTGACACCTGATCTTTGTTGTAATTTGATGCTACTCTATTTTGATAGTGTTGTGTCTTAACTGCAATTAATAGATTTCCCTATAAACTTTGGTTTTACAGGTGCAAAAACTAAAGGAAGAGCTAGCAAGTGCCAAAAAATCTAGAAAAGCTTCATCTGTTCCATTAAGGGCAGCCCTGCAAAAGGCTGCACAGATACGATTGATGGAGAAAGAAAAGAATAAAAGTCCTTCACATGCTATGCGTCTTTATTTGAAAATTAATAAAATTGCTTGGAGCATGCTTATTGATGGAAAATCATTTGGAGAAGCTGAGATAAATGACATGGTGAGCTTCTTAGTATTCAAGTCTATTTATATTTTCTTTTCCAACTGAGGTCTCCTTTGGGTTCAAAACCAGTTAAGGAAGTGTATATGACATCATTCATATTCTTTCCTTTCATGTGAAAATGGATACACTTTGAATGATGCCACTTCTCGATGCAGATTTATGATTATGACAGGGATTACAAAGATATTGGCGTTGCAAAATTCTCAATAAAGTTTGTTGTTATAAGAAACTGTCTGCCCGGTGCCAAGTGTGATACGGTTCTTTCTGCCTGGAATCCTCCTTCTGAATGGGGAAAGTATGCTGCTTTTACTCTTCCTTCTGTACCTTGTTCTGATCATTCATTTCTTTATTGCTCTTACTTCTTAATTTCTTATTTTGCTATACCAATTTATAACCATTATGCTTTTCTTTCACGACATGCTATCTTCTGTTCTTTAGTTACAAGTTACCATAGATTTTCTTTCCCCTTTTCCTGAAGTCAGAAAAAATCATTTCTTCTATGCTGTCGACTTGCATCTTATTGGTGTTGACAATTCTATGGTATTGGTGATTCCATGGGCAAGAAAACCTATCAACCTAAATCAGGTTTTAATTTTGATACAAAAGAATATTCAGAATTCTGTGATTTAGATCTTGGTAGGACTAAGAACTAAAGTATCTATTAAACTATTATGTATTATAAGTTGTGTAAAATAAGTAGATGTTGGACTGGATATTACTTTTAATTTGGTCTTAAGGTAATAATTATGGACAGAAAAGCCTTGAAAATTCCTATTTTTATATGTAGCAAATAAGTTAAGTGTTGATGCAAAGTATAATAACAAATATTTGCAATAGCCAATGGTGTCCAGACACAAGAGAAGCTCAGGACAGCTTCAAATCTTCCATGAGCTTGCTCTATCTCATGGGTGGAACACATGTTTTTGCTTGAGTTGTTTTAACCTTAGTGCATTTTCCTCACTGATTTACATTCTTGTATTTTGAGATGGCAGCTCTATTTTGAGTTACCAGTTATTTTTAGTGTAATACCTTCTCATCCAAATATTTGATGTCATACCTCATGTTTTTTGTATCCAAATGGATTTTGTGATGCAATCCTTGTCTGTGTGCTTAATGATCTTATGCTACTTCTGAATCTGCAGAAAAGTGATGCTTCTTGCACATGCAAAACAGGGGCCTCCAAAAGATGGACACTCTACTATTGAACTCTTACAGGTATTGATTCTTTTCACAAAACAAAAATTTAGGTGATTTTACCTTATAAAAGGAAGTGTAACCGTCAAAATTTATTTTGATTTTAGAATAGAAATAATAGAGTATACTATTTAATTATTATAATCTTATACTTGACACTCATAAGTAGGAACCAATTTTATGAAGTTGCATTATGCAGTTTAAGTACTCCTTGTATCCGGAGAATTAATGATGTTAAATGTCCTTTTCAGGTGGAGATCTACCCCTTGAAGATAAATGTGGTTGAGGCAATGTACAAAGTGTTGTGGGAGTACCTTTTTCCAGAAGAAGAACAAGACACCCATCGACGGCAGGTATGTAAAAGTAGAAGAATCATATATTAATATCTTAAATACATGAAAGTAACTTTGCAAACTCTTTGACTATGCTTAGGAAGTATGGAAAGTTTCAACTACTGCTGGTTTAAAACGTGGGAAGAAAGGCTCATCAGTACAAGAAATTATTGTGGCTAACAGCCCAAAATCTAAAGATTCTCAGGGCTCCTCCAAACCAGGCTCTGGCTTTGCTGATTCCTCTTCTGATGTAAGTTTTTGGTGTAAAATATAAGCGTGTGTTTGATAAGTTCATATTGAAGTTGTTTCACTGTTCCTCAACATAATAATCTTTCAATTTCATTCTTGTCTGCCCCATGAAGAGAATATTGATATTTGTGTGATGTGATGTGATGTTTGCAGTCTCTTAAGTTACGAAGGACATCTTCCTTTGATAGAACGTGGGAAGAAAGCGTTGCTGAATCAGTTGCTAATGAACTAGTATTAAAAGCTCAAAATTCGGGTGGGGGTGCCACTACTACTACATCAAAAACTGGGGCAACTGCTAAAGCTGGCCGCTCTGCCACTCAGGTAGCGAAACCAAATGAAGAAAAAAAGCCACGAAGACTGAGAGAGTTCCGCAACATTAAGATAAGTCAGGTCGGTGGTCGTGATGTTTGGTTGTGTTATGATTTATTATTTATCACAATTCTAAATACTAGTGTGCATGATGTTACAGGTAGAGCTATCAGTGACATATGAAGGATCTAGGTTTGCTGTAAGTGAACTAAGATTGCTGATGGATCCATTCCATTGTGCTGAGTTTACGGGAACCTGGGGGAGGCTATTCTCCCGAGTTAAGAAACATATCATATGGGGAGTATTAAAATCTGTAACGGGAATGCAGGTACTTACTTGATCAACAAATAAAATCCTTCCCTTGTATTGATGATGGATGAAAATACATACATACATACATACATACAGGTTAAGAAGTTTAAATTAGGGGGGGGTCATCATAAAGACACTAGTTCCACTGGTCCCAGCCTTGATATGAATCTGATAGATGATGATGGAAAAGTGGAACAATGGCCGAAGCGTCCCACTGATGCAGGCGATGGATTTGTGACCTCTGTAAGGGGGCTGTTCACTTCTCAGAAGCGTAAGGCAAAGAACATTGTGCTACGGAAGATGAGGGGTGAAGGAGAAAATGAAATGCTACAGGGTGAGTGGAGTGAAAGCGAAGCAGAGTTCTCTCCTATCGCCAGGCAACTCTCCGGATCAAGAGCCAAGAAACTCATTAGGCGCCACACCAAGAAGTTCCACCCAGGACTGCAGCAAGGTTCCATTTTCAGTTTCTATTTTCGTATTTTCATCTCTGCGCATACTATCCATAAACTTTTTTGTTCATTTCAACATCAGGTTTATCTTCCGTGGATGGAGACTCAATTCCCACATCCCCTCCTGATATAACACTCGACAGCGATTCTTCAAGCGAATCCTCGCCATACGAGGAAGAACAAGAACAACAACAACAACCTGAATAGGAGGAATTTGAAGAAGCAGCATACTGTACTGTTCAAAGGGAATGGAATGGACTGGACTGCTTTATCAACCTCTGCAACAGGCACTCTATTCCAGGTACAGGTCGTTTCCAAATAATTATGCACCTAGGCTACCAAATAAGTGTGCATCGGTAAATGTAAATGCCCCCGAGTAGTAGAGTTTTGTTTTTTTTTTTTTTTTACTCGAGATGGGTCCGGCAGAGTGAACATTTGGACCTGAGAGAGTCCGTAATGGCATCAATAAAGTAAGTTTAGGATATGATGCTACTCTGTAAATGAGTTAAATAAACAAAGATAAATAAATGCCCTTGCTTCATTATCTGCCCTATTCTTTATTACTCCGTAATTTTATGATATTCCATTCTAATTCCAAGCACTAAGTGGTATTCACAAGCAACACTTTCTATGTACATAAACTCAATGGGATTGTTTGATTTATCCACGACACCCTTCATACATTCGTATACCCCATAATTATACATTTATACTCAAGTAGTCAAATATAAACCACCCATTTTTCCCATATTACAACTTGTAAGTTTAAATTGGCTTCTATGCACTCTAGCATATGTTCCAAGTCAACCCAACAACTATATACAGTCAAGCTGCTGACAGTATCATATATATATCCAACCTCTGTATTCCAGAAAGCAGTTAGAGAATTTATAAAAATAAATTTGACTTAATATGCCAGTTTGGGGACTGGACACAAACTATTCAAAGTTTGCCGGAATATCTATCTCTGTTTTAGAACCATTTCCAAAGTCAACTAGTGTTTCCTGCAGATCAGATTATTAAACTGAGTAATTGTTGTGTAAAGCCAGAACGACCATCATTACACTGTTGACCATGTCATCGAAACAGTGTAATTTGGTTTTTGGAGTTCTTGAATAACATATTATAGTACATGAATGTAATACCTGAACATCAATGTGGCCTGGAGATCGGACAATAACATCAGGAATCTTGTTAGCAAGATCCTTGCAATTTCCAGGCAAATTCTGTACACAAGTGTCACAAGATAATCCCTTCTTTTGTCAATAAGTAGAAAAGGACAGGAAAAACAAAAAACAAAAAAACTGTCTGTTTACAAATTTTCACGGATACATATGACAATACAAAAATTTGTGGAGGGATTGGGATTGGTAAATATAGTAACAGAGCAGTTATCTTTTGCAAGGGAAATGAAATCAAAATTCCTTTCACAAATACCTCGTTATGATTATCTGAATGAACTTGAGTTCCTAGAGTTGCAGTTTTCAAGGGATCTCCAGGAGTTCCCTACATGCACTATAGCTGTGTAAGAATGATTTATCTTTATCCTTAATACAGTATCCTTGTTGAAACAAGTCCAAGGTTTCATACTAGTTCATCCTGATTATGAGGGAAGCTCTCATTTTGAAGGACAGAAGGCTTGATATCAGTTGGTGTATCCTGCAAAAAAAATAAAGAAATACTATTTTACTTTCTCAGAAAAAGTAACTAGATGGACACTGATTGCCAATGAAATACTAATAACAGTATATTGTTTTGTTGCTAAAGAAACACACCAGCTCTCTATGCTCCAGAGAAATGATCCTCCCTCCCTTGCTTAAATCTCTCAATGTTCCCTGTCCATGTTATTAGATATGCCAGAGAAGCACATAGAGATTCCAATTAAATAAACCACCAAAATACTTACAAAAATTAGTTAATAATGCACATTTCATTTCAGTCAGGGAAAGGAAGAAAGAAAACTGGTTGGAAAGAAAATGGCTCTTCACAAAAACTTCCTAGAAATTTTGAGAGAGACTGAGAGAGTAGAATAGAAGGATTACGGTGCTTCCAATGTAATTTTGACCAAAATGGAAAAAAGAACAGACCTTGACTATTTTTAGAACAAACCATACAAAGAAAAGATTTTGCAGACCTTGTTTGCCCACTTTAGCCCACATGCATTACAAAGTGTTCTTGGTCCATCAGGCCCGCGACGCATTGCTGGAGTGCAATTCTCACTAACACCACAATGGTGACATCTACGAGGACTGGAAGATACACAAAAAGTAACAATAAATTTAAATGAGAATGGCACTCTATGCATATAAGGGCAGTAATAAATTGAGTTTCTAAATGCCCAATCATTACAGTGAGAGAGTGCAACTCACACAGTTTCTGATTGCGGTGTACCATCTTCAAGGACACAGTTCGATGGATCCCAATTGGATGACCCACCTCCCTTCAATGATGCAAATTGACCATTCTTCCGGTGCATCCTATTATATATTCAATCAAGGCAGACTATAGCTGAAAGAGCATGCAAGTATAAAAAGCTGCTTTCTATTTGCAGTAGAAGATTAAGTCAATAACTCAAAAAAAAAAAAAAAAAATAGACATGATTAGAATATAGTGAAATCAAAAATCAGCTATTATGTTAAAAAATTAATTGATAACATTCTTCTAGTTTTTTATTCATCTAAAATGGAAATATTCCAGTACATCAGTTGTTTATGGCCGAATATTTCATAATGCAAGCATAACAATACGAAGCTTTGCTTATGGCACCAAAGGAATAGTTCAAGGAATTCAAGCAACACGTTATAGTTTACCTTTGAGCAACCTCCTTCCGGACAGTGTATCTAATTTTCTTATCATAACATCTCTCCTTCCTTTTCTCACGGAACCTAACCAGAGAGGCTATTCTTCTTGAAAGATTGGGGTGCTTTGGCATATCATCCTCAACCTGTCATACGACATATATATCAGATCATTAAAAATGATGTAAATAGCAGATTATTGTTTACATAATTACCTTGCTATTCAAAGGAACATCTACAGAGGGCACAGCAGTAGGAATATCAGGTCCCCCCAAAAGCAAGAGCACTGCTTGAACCTATGACAGACAGTTTTATGAACATAAGATTTTCTAAATGAGTACAAATTCATCTTGATATGATGTGGAAAACAAAGTAGGCTTAAATAGTACATCGATCTCAACATATATTAATCTCCAGTATTTTTAACAAAGTACTTTTTTATTCTTCTCCTATCACCATTAAGCTAAGACGAGCACAAACTATACTGACAAATGTATATTTAGCATAAACAGGGATAGTGAAACTAAATTAACTTCTCCCTGTTCTTATACAATGAATCGGGGACAAGAATACCTTCTATAATCTGTAAAATAAGTAGAAATTAAGATAATACAAAATAATAGAGTACCTTCTCGGGAGTGACGGCAGGGAAGACATAGACTTCACCTTCAAAAGCAAGAGTTAGTTCACTAGTCCTCGACGGCGCCACCACAACTCCGCCTTTCAGGCGTTCAGTCAGAGAGCCGCCGCGGTGGTTCTTAGAGTTTACTCGACTGTACTCCTCCTCATCCATAGTATCATCATCTTCGTACGTGCCGTTATCGTCATCCACGTCATCTAAACTTACGGCCGGAGGCGCGTGATCGCGGACGGGAATCGCCTGCAGTGGCCGGGGGTTCGCCGCCATCAACCAAACTTTCAAGTTCCAATCATCAACTTATTATTCTTCATGCAACTAAATCCACCTGCAGCTTGAATTCCAAGTAATCCTGTTTTCCTATATTATTTAATTCCTTTTAAGATTAAATTCAGGATTTCAGAGGAGAGTTCGAGAGTGAGGATAGAAGGAGACAGCGACGCAATGAACAAATGCGATTATATCCAAAACTCCAAAGGAAGACAAAGGTGGACACGAAAAAGCACCCCGAAATGGCAAAATTTTCAGATACTGCCATTGTGTTTTTTTACTTTCCTTTAATTTATTTTTTCTTTTTTAATTTATTGATAATCCCGAGGACTCAACACTTCAAACTATACACTTTCACATACAAAAAGTTTAAAATTTTACACTTAACTATATATTTTTGGAAGTCTAATTCAAACACAAATTTTTAATTTTTAAAATAGAATTGAACCTTGCAAAGTAAATTTTAAGTAGAACTTGTCATCTAGACCAATGACAATGTCACAATGAAAGTCTTAATCGAGCTATTTTAGAGAAACTCCATTTGATAATTTTCAATTTGTTTTTTTGTTCAGGAAAAATTCTCCCTTGCCGTGGACCTCGTGGGGGATGCAATGATTCTCTGCAATGAAGTGTACGGTTTTGGGCAAAAGATGAGGTGGGGCCTACTTATCCGAAGGAAGATCTTGGATTAGATTTGGAAACATAAACAATCAATCAATCGGATTATTATTAAAATATATCATAAAGTAGTATTGTTTGCTTCTATCTGAGGAAAAATACGAAATTATTATATTTTTTTTAGTGAAACATTATAGGATAAAAAAGAAAAATAATGTCAGGGAAAAGTTAGGTAAGGAAAAATACGAAATTATTATATTTTTTTTAGAGAAACATTATAGGATAAAAAAAGAAAAATAATGTCAGGGAAAAGTTAGGTAGAAATTGGAAGGCTGAAAATGATGATGTATCCGAAAATAACATTCGAGTCCATGCATAAAAAGCACTTTACAAGTTTCACGTCTATTCCGGTACCATCCAACCATAGAAATACAGACTGTGATTTGACTTGATATGACAAACTTCAGCAAATCCAATATATAAGATATACTGTAATTATTACGGAGTGTCAAAATAGTAAAAACATTTTTTTTTTTTTTGAAAACAAAATAGTAAAAACATATATATCCACTTTTCCTAACTGTGATAGTTTAGTCAATTTTGTATATTCCATTTTGTTTCCTGTCTGATATATATATACACACAAATGACACAATATCTATCTAATATTATTAAAATTGAATAATACTCCTACAATAAGACATGCTGTCCATTTCTCGAGTGATGTTTTAATATTATTTACAATCAACGAATAGTGTAAATTGTAAAAGTTGATCCATTATAATTTTAAAAATTTTCTAAATAAAATTGTATAAATAATTTTGACTTTATTTATATCATTGTTCTTAAAAGTTGAATCATTAACTTCAAAGGCCTCCCATGTCACAACCCGACAAAGAATTTAAGAAGATGTAAATCATGGTAACTCAGCTAAATACAGAGGTTAAATATTTGCTTACTGCACAAAATGAACCTCTCATTTTGAGAGATCGCTCCGACATTGTCATTGGTGAGGCTATGTTTATATCATGTTATATATATAGCGCTATTGATGTTTAAAAATCACTCTAATTAAATAAAAATTGTTAAACACTTCATATACATATAATTTGTCACATACTTTATTTACCCCTATATTGTCACACAGATTGAGCCTACTTTGGAGGCCATGGATTATGACTAAATTTGAGTTTGACTAATATACAGTAATATATTACTACAAAACACTTTAAAGCCCGGAATAAACTACTTAGGCTATGCGTAGTTAGGCATTAACTTAATCACAGATCAAATTCAAACATCTTTACAGTACTAATGATTTCTGATAATCCAACATAATCAGCTTTGTTTGACTTATAGTTTTGTAGCTAACCTGAGGCATCTGGTGATATAGCTTCCATAGACATAAGATATGTAAAACTGGTATGCTTAGGCATAACCTATCAAAAAATTACCAAACAGTGACCTGGTACAAACCTTGTGTACTTGTGAAGATACCTGTACAGTCAATTAGTAAATAGCTTTTAACATGGCTGGATGGTAAGAGAGATATTAGCTCCGTTGGCATCCTCTTTCAGGGCTTAAAACAGCTGAGGAATCACCAGCAGATGAAGAAGCCATGTAGTCAATATTATAGCGTAGCGGTAGAGGCATCCCATAATCAGAATCAGAGTCATCTTCATCTTCATCCTACATTGGATAATGCAGTGTGCAAAAGGAAACAAATCAGGTAATGCCTTATGGCAGCAGACACAAGCCAGAAATCATTTGAATGCATATACCTCCATTTCAGTCAAAGTATTGCTGCATCTTCTCTTTGGAAGAACCCTCATGGTCCCCTGCAGAGTGACGTGATTAAAGGTAAGATAATGAGTGAGCCAAAAGTATGTTCAAATTTTAGATTCTAATTATTTGTGTGAACAAAGCACATATGTCACAAACTCCACCAGATAAGATGTACCAGTATAGCAGAACATAAACTTAGTTGAAAGTAACTGGTGAACATGCTGACCTTGTTTGCCCAAAAAAGACCACAAGCATTACAAAGAGTTCTTGGGCCAGCTGGTCCTCGCCGCATCATAGGAGTTGCCTTTGAACTAGTGTTACAATGAGTGCACCTGACAAGAAGGGTAAAAGGGGTTTTACGTGAATGGGGAATCAGGGGTGGATGATTAAAATAGCATCCCAAAAAAAATGAGGGAGGGGGGAAAGGTTGGAAATACATAAATATTGCTACTTATCATATTTATTTCCTTCAGCAGATGAGCACTACTATTTATCATGCAAGACAGAATCCAGGTTTGTTTTTGAAGGTTGATAAAAAGATTGAACAAAAACCAGGATAAACTCAAGAGACAGACTAATTAGTGGTATGCATGAAGGCATTTCCCTTTCTTCTTCCCGTCATGGCAAAAATTTTGTTAACTTATGCTGTTGGTTTTGAACAAAATACAAATACAAAATAATAGGCCAATATCATGTGGTAATAAACAGGAAAAATAAAATATCAAGACACAGATGGAAAACCTTCCATTTGCAACTGAATTCTATAAAGATAATTGAACTTCAGAAAAATATAGGAATCTTATCAACAGCCCAAAAAAGGGTACCAAATTTCTTGGTGTGAATTATCGTCCTGCCCAGATTCCATCTGTGCATTGCCAGCAATAGTATTCTTTGATGCAAACTGACCCTTCCTACGCTGCATCCTGATTTATCATAAATGGAATTAGAAATTGAAGAGTGCAAAAACTATCCTCAAAAATAACTCCATAAATAAGAGCAAACTGAAGAGTGCAACTTGACAGCAGGATCAATGAATATGGGTAGTTAAAAGATTCAAAAACACCTTATCCATCTAGTATATTTTTTTAATGAATCTTAACCTAAAATTCCTAATATTTACTCTTAAGAGGAAAGCTTTTCTCATATCAATTGACACCATTTATCCGCAAAAACACAAGTGTCTAGTTAGAAACATAACACAGTGGTAACTGGTAAAAGCTTTATTAATATCATAGAACACTTCAATATATAAGATTCATGATTGTTTAGTGTATGGAGAAAGATGCATGAGACAGAATGCAGTTTCAATTTTGTCTTGCTCTGTAAATTCAAAGAACGCACAATCCCTACATGTATAGCATTTCCCCATTTTATATGTGGATTGATATGAATATGTGATCACACCTTGAGACGTGTGGCTGAAATCTTGTGTTACACTTAGCTTTAGAGGAATTTCCCAAAATGAGATGACTAGGAAAACAGTTCATGTAATATCATTGATTTGGGAGGTGCACCAAAATGTGTATTTGAAATTGCAAAATGAGACCAACCACCACGTTGCACTAAAAGGTTGTCTAACCTCATTCAGAAAATGAGACAAAATGTAGCATTCCTGAAATTGCCATGTCACATTGCATTCACATAATAAGATGCTTGCAGCATATACTTTGCTTTTGTCAATTTTAAACGAATAACCTTTTTTGTGACATGCATGGAAGAATAGGTAATAAATAAACAAATAACTGACACGCACAGATAAAACAAGCCGCAATACCTGACTGCAACTTCATGACGGATATTATATCTTATTTTCCTTCCATAGCACCGCTCTTTCCTCTTCTGACGAAACCTATTCAGAGATTCAGCTCTCTTTGGATCACTACACCGGGCTGAATAGTCAGTATTCTCCTAATGCACAATGGACTCAGATGTTAGACAGAAAGACATATTACCACTAGAAAATAAATTTTCATTGGGAAGTAAATACCCTTTGAGTAGTAAATGCTCCTGGAGTGTATTCATATCCACCCAAAAGTAAAAGCACTGATTGGACCTATAAAAAGCAGCCAAAAACAATGCTTATGCCCAGATATCATTCAAATCAAATGATATTAATAAATTGTTGAATTACTATCAACAACAGAAAGGACCATAAAACCAGTGTCTATGATAAATAAGGTATTTCATTCCCCTTTCATCTAGATCTAATAAATCAGGTGTACTGGGAATTCACCTGAAGAGTATTATTGTTCAATCATGTAATTGAACTATCAGGGACTAGAGTTACAAAAAATAATAAATAAATAAATAGTACATAGTAAATTGAACTTCTTCAACTCATCAAAATAATTTGCTAACAAGTATTCTCCTCTTCTTCTGCTCAAATGAAATTCAAGGGAGGAGAGGCAGTCACTAATCAGCTCTGAACAGTGAAATAATCAAAGATAAACAGCAATGCAAAATGACACAGCAACCAATTTTGCGCTTTCGGTCGTAATTTTTCAAACAGTTCTTAAAACAATATTACAAGACAAAGACTAAAATAACAACACAACGGACGCTAGAGTTGAACATTCATCACCTTCTCCAGGGTAACAGCGTCGAATACATAGACTTGACCTCGGAACGAGAGAGTGAGCTGGTCGGGAGCGTAAGCCGCGTCCGCAGCCGTGAACACAGAGCCGTAAGGGACGGGGACCTCAACGCCGTCGAATCCACCGATAGCGCCGCCTTCTATACACTGAACTTCATAGCCGATCCCAGCGTTGTTAGTATGCTCCTCTTTGCCGGCCGCACAGTCTCCGCCGCCGGGAAAGTGCCCCGGCGCACTCGTCGGTTGCATGTGAGTTTACGTTGTCCCCTTCAATGGTAGTAAATCCCTTCTTAAACCCTAACTCTCACAATGTAGATTGGTGGGGAAGGTGGAATTGTGAGTGTGAAGAAGACGAAGAAGAAAACAAATTGACCCAACGGTGGTTGAGAGATGGAGACGAGCATTTCCCTTTGTAAACTGATGGCATTTGGTTATTTTCCCACGAGATACGGATGAGCGGGAATCTCCATAATCCGTACAAAGTGCAAAACGAATTTGCGGAATGAGAGAGGAAAACGATAGTTCAGCACTTCATTAGTTCATTTTACATATCCGTGATAATGAAGATTGGCAAGATTAATTATGCTTATCATGCCAAGCACCTTGTGTTAAAAAAAAAAAAATTACACTTTATCATTTTTTAAGATGTAATAACTAGACAAGACTAAACACACTAATTTTTAAAAGAAAAATATTTTTTCTTCACTCAATTTTAGTTCTAATACGGAGCAATATTTAACTTTAGAATACTTTTTTAATAAATTATATTATTTTTTTTTAAATGTCAATAATCAGAACAACACACCCCATTACCAAAGATTGTATCACTAGTGTGACTGAGCTAGAAAAAGTCATAGTCACATGAAGTCTAAGTAAATTTATTAGACAGTTAATTGAGTAACTACTAAATTTTAAGTTCGATTGTTTGTAAAAATTATCTTTTAATTTTCTTAGTTTGAGTTTTGATTTACCTTATTATAATCAGTTATGGATAATTTAGGTTGGTAGGCTTCACCGATAGTGCATCTTTAAGTAGCGGTTGCAGACAAAATAATGAACTTACTCTATGATATGAATAACCTAGCTAGGTTGGTTTATTAATTTACCTCCCTTATGTCAAGAAGGGATTGCGGATTTTCGGACAAAAATAATGAACTCAGTCTATGATATAATTTAGATCAATTTACCACAGTTGTAGATAATCTAGACTAGTTTACCTCCTTATGACAGGCTTCACCTATAACGCATATTCGAGTAATGACTGTTAACTTTTAGGCAACAAATAAGGAACTCACTCTCACAATTGAGCCTGTTGTATGGGTATTCTTAAATCTTAATGCAATTTATCTCCCTTTTAAAATTTATTAATTATTATATATGAACGGAGTTTATTCCGTGTACAACATCGGGTCGGATGGTGAAAAGTAAAAAAAAGTACATTTTTGGTGGGTCAAAATTCAAAAGTGGGTAACTCTTATCATTGGATCTTGAAAACTTGGGCTTTTAGTAGTCCAGCCCAATCTAACGAAAAGGCTTTTTTGCTGATTCAAGTTAATGCTGGACAACGAAACTCTGCAAACTCTGTACTGTTTTTAGTTTCATCCCATTATTTCAGGTTTCTAAAATTCCAGAAATGGTGAAGCCTTCGACTTTCCCCCGTGCTTCATGAAACCTTCCAGACTCTCCTCCACCTTCCTTCCTGTGTATAATCGAACCTCTGTCATCTCTCCCATTCTCTCCCCGCCGCCATTAAACCACAGAAGGCTGCACACTGCCGCAAGCAACATCCCAAACACACTGCAATACCTCCAGTCATTCCGCAGCCTAATCGAATCCCTTTCAAAGAACCCAAGGAATTACAAAGCTCTGACCACTCTAGACACGTTCTTGGCCCAAACCCACTGCTTCACCCCAGCAACCTCGGTGATTGTCATTGATTTTCTTTCCCAAATCAAGAAACTTCAGAGGGCAAAGGCTGTTGTGCATAGTCTCAAATGTCAAGGCAAGGTTTCTGATCACTTCTTGTATGGTTTAGTATTTGAGTTTTTAGTTAAAGATGAGAACTTTAATGCTGTTGAGACTGTCTGGGCTGAAATTTGTGGGTCTGATGTTAGAATCAGTGCTTCTGATTATATTATACATGTGTGCAAACATGGCGGTGTAGATGAAATTAAAAGAGTCTATGAAAAAGTTCTGATGGGTGGCAGTGTACATTTGGAAAGGCAAAGCCTTGTTGCTTTGATTGGGGCTTTGTGCAGAGTGAATGAGGGCAGTTTAGCTAAAGAGTTGGCTGGTGAAATGCTTGATAGAGGGATTGCAGTGGATGATTTGAGTTATTTTGTGATATTTCAGTGCTTTTGCAGAAATGGGGATGTGGATGAAGCTGACTTGATTTTGAGAAAATTGTGGAAAACTAAATTCCATTTTGATGTATGTATCTATGGGAGCTTCTTGCATGCACTGTGTAAATCTGGGAAATTAAGAGAGGCAAATAAGTTGTTTTGCAGACTGATTAAAAGGGATAGCTCGGAGGTGTCCAAAAAGGCTGCCATTTTGAAGGAGGGAAGAAGGGCGATTTTTCAGATGAGTTGGGAGGGTGCCATTCCAGAAATAGTAGCATATGAAGCTTATTTTAGATCCTTATGCAGTGCAGGGAGGATCAATGAGGCACAGGAACTACTGAAAGATATGAAGAAGAAACGAAACTCGTTGGAGATATGCATTTATGGTTCCTTCATCAATGCCCTTTTTCGGGCAGGGAGGGCCGAAGATGCACTGAAGTTCTTCGATGTGGAGAGCTACAAAGGAGTGATAAGGATGGAAGATATGGCCAGGTTTGTCATTACGGGGCTCTGCTACGATGGCAGACTCGATGAAGCATTGGAGATTTTCAACAATGGAATCGCGTGTGCTAGGACACTTAACTGCATTCTTGATGGTTATTGGAGAGCAAGAAGAGTTGTCGAGGCAGAAAGATTGTTTCAGAGACTACAGGGTGGCGGTTTTGGATACTATAACGTATCAACTTATGGTACCATGATTAATGGCTATTGCAACGAGGGCAACGTTTCAAAGGCGGTTCGCTTACTGGACGAAATGCTTAGCAGAAAAATGTCGGTGAATCAGACATTGTATGCGATGATCATTGGAGGATTGTGTGCTTGTGGAAGAGTTGAGCAAGCACTGCAATATTTCAATGCAATGGTTGAAAATGGACATGCTGTTTCTGGCAAGAGATGTGAATCACTTCTTCATCTGTTATTGAATTCAGATGGGATGAGCAGTGAACTCTGATATATCTATTTTATACTCTCTGGAAATTAGATTGAATAAACTAAAAAGTATGAAAAGAGGAGCCAAATGAATTAGGGGATTCTTTCTGACTAACAATCGTTTTTACACACAAACTCACTTGTATCTTTCAATTCAATACCTACATAGAGGATTTTTTTTTTTTTTTTTTTTTCATGTTTGATTGCGGTTAAATACTCCGTAGTTCAATAGCTTATTTGGCTTCTACTTTTTTTTATATAATAATAATAATAATAATAATAATAATAATAATAATAATAATAATAATAATAATAATAAATAAATAAATCCAACATAAAATATTTTAGAAATTTTCTATGAGGTTACTTGATACAATACCAATTCCAGTTAAATTAGTCGGGTTGTCAACTTGCTACTCACAATGTTTTAAATTCAATTCTTTGTGAGCCTGTTAGCCTTATTGATTTGAATCAGTTAGTTATGGGAATTTGTGATCCTGGGAATTTGTGATCCTTTGCTGACTGTTGTTACAATGCTTAGATTTAATATTTACTTGTTATACACTTTCGAGTAATGATTGTGAGTTCCTATCGTTACTCTAATAATAATTATAATATAAAATGGGCTAGAGCGAGTATAGTTTTACTATTATTATTATGTATTCTATTTACTATTCATCGGTCAAACTAACTCTTTTTTTCTTTGTTTATTTTCTTTAGAATTCTATACTTATTTTTAAATTTGATTTGTTGTGTTTAATACTATTTTTAACGTAATTTCTAAATATATAAATTTTCTATACTAATATTGAAAAAATAGATTAAAAATAACTTCAGTTAATGGAATAGGTTCCCTTGTTGATCGATGTCGTAAAATCTAAATATTTTAATTTTCTCATGCATTTTGAAAATATAAAATAAGAATAAAAGTATACAACTATTCCTTATCAAACATGTGAACCACTTTTTACCAATTAAAATCCAGAAAAAGTAAATAGTATATTGAAAATAGAGTTAATACCCAAAATCGTCATCGACTATAGTGGTTTTTTTCAATTTCGTCCTAAACGACTTTGGTGACATAATATCGTCCCAGATTTTTGTGTTTCGCTCAATTTAGTCCTCCATTTGTTATTTCGTCAAATTAGTGTTAAATAAAGGGACAATTCAGTAATGTCAATATTGATCTCTCTTTACTTTCAACTTGTGAAGTGCGAAATTCCTCTTTCTTGTACGAATTACACCCAGAATTACTCCCGGACCTGCAAATCAAATTTTATATTCGCAGTTTTAGGAGTAATTCTGGGAGTAATTCGTAAAAAAAAAAAAAAACAGGATTTCGCAGTTCACATGTCTATGAGTAAAGAGATGCCAATATTAAAATTACTGAATTGTGTATTTATTTAACACCAAATGGACAAAATAACAAATGAGGGACTAAATTGAGCAAAAACACAAAAGTCTGGGACTAAATTGAGCGAAACACAAAAGTCTGGGACGATATTAGGTCACCAAAGTCGTTTAGGACGAAATTGAAAAAAACCACTATAGTCGAGGACGATTTTAGGTATTAACTCATTGAAAATAAGAGTGCAACTTGCGTTATTAAATCCTTAAATGGAATATTCGAATATAGTGTCTTTTCGCTAAGAAAGCGATCTCGACATGCACGCAGATTAGTTTGAGAATAAAAAATAAAGTTGGTGGATGGATAATTAAAATAAGTAAAAATTATCAAAGATCGTCTCGCATATCCTTGTTGTAACGGGTTGGGTTAATATAAAATGTAATATTTATATTAAAAAATGTAATACTAATCAAAAATAAAATGTTTATTACTTAAAAGTATAATACTTTTGAATGAAAAATGTACTCATTACTTTTACATTTTGATTTAAAAGTATTACATTATTCTCAAAAGTATTACATTAAGTAAGAAATACTCGACAACATTATTTATAAAGGAAAATATCATACTTTTGATGAAAAATTTAATATCTTTACAATTGATATAAAACTATTATATTTTTTTCTCAAAAATATTACACTTTCCCTTATAAATAACAAAAAATTTATTCATTATGAGTTACATTTTCCAGCATAAGTATTACATTTCAATACCAACCCGGCACGACTCGTCTAACGAATAAGGATTCGTTAGACGGTCTCACACAAGTGTAACTCTTAAAATAATTAGAAAAATGATAAATATGGAACCATTTCTATTTGTGTTTGGAATATAAACTATCAACTAACAACATTATTATTATTATCATTATTATTATTATTATTATTATTATTTTTTTTTTTTAATAAATGAAACTCGCACCACTACTAAAAGTTTGATAATTTTTGTGTAGATCATGAATAAAAAAGTATATTTTTAATATATTAAATGTACATTATTTTTGTACTGAATATGCAATATTTGATAGTATATAAAATAATATACTTTTAATACTCAAAGAAGTGTTGACAGTAATTAAACTTGTGAAGTTTACTTACTTACTATTAACTTTAGGTTACTTTATTTCTTTATTTCTTTCTTCTACGTCCGTTGTGCTTTGATTAAATAATTTTGTAGTTTCATTAATGCTATTCAATTTTGACTAATCAAAAGTAATGTTTGTTGTGTGTGAGAAATTTTCATTACGAGACGTGTAATACTTTTTTTTTTATAAGTGTTTAGATAAATATTACGCAAGTATATTTTAACTTAAAAAAAATAATTTGTATTACATGTGCAGTCTCACTCAAGTTCTAAAGTTTGTTGGAATCTCTCTCTCTTTGAAAAAAAAAACAAAAACAAAAAAAAAAACAAAAAAAAAAAACAAAAACAAAAAAACAAAAACAAAAAAAACAAAAAACAAAAAACAAAAACAAAAAACAAAAACAAAAACAAAAACAAAACAAAACAAAACAAAAAAAAAAAAAAAAAAAAGGAAACTTATGTCATATGTTAGTTCTTATGAAACATATTATTTATAAAAGGAGAAAATCTTTTATTGTTTAAATATGCATAATTAATTGTTTTGATTTTTCACGGTTAAGAATTACAAAATATGCTAACAACTTTATAAGATAGTAATAGTTTTGATCATCTGATGAATGTTAGTGTATATTTTCATTAACATTTTAACACTTTGAGGTTTGAATGTTCAATTTAAGTGAAATGACTACGTGGGAAGAAAAATAAAAAATGACTATCTCAGAGATTTTTTTTTTTTTTTTTTATAAACATTTTTCCTTTATAAAATTCATTGTATATAAGGAAGAAAGAAAGAAGGAAAAACAACAATGCAGCATGCCTTTGAAATTAAACTATCCTCATCCAAGTTCATTTTGAGCATACTAAATATGGAGTATTTATTTTTAATGTATTAAATGTTTATTTTTAGACGTTTCATTTTTAATATTATCTAAAAATAAATTTATAATACTTTAAAAATAAAATTTTTAATATACTAAAAATAAATATATATCAATGATCCATCTTATATGGTAAACTATGGCCTATAATATGATTTACCACTTATAAAAACATTGGCTCTAGAATAAATTAATATAAAAGTTGTTTTTAGAAGAAATAAAATGAAATAATTGGAATTAAAAATTGAAACAAAACGATAAATAAAAAAGAATATGAAGTAGTGCATGTGATTTGTGAAATGCAATCATCTCTGCAGGCTAAAGATTCCAACACAATGCAATCAAATCGCAACTTCAGGAAACTTAACAATAATATCCACCATTTTTTAAATATCAATTGCATGCCTTATGTCCCCAATCTTATCTTATTCCATTTTATTTTGATTTTCAAGAAAATACAGAATCGTTACTTGTTCTGAGTGAATCTTATTTTATGATCTTAATAAACAAAAATTATACAAAAATAAATTAGTTTAAATTGTCTATATCTTATCATATTAAATAAAAAAATATTAATAAATAAATATCATATATATATATATATATATATATATATATATATTCGAATTTAAAACCTTGTAATTGTCTAATCTCATTATATTTTAGTTTATTTGATTGTACCTTTACATATGCTTTGGTTTAAAAAGCTAGATATCAGTGCACATAGCTTATATTGAGTGGATTGTATTATATTGGTGAGACATTAAAAAAATTAGATATTGAAAATTTTAAACAAATATTTCTTTGGTGGGATGTAAAGTAGCACTTAGTCAATTAATAAGGAAATGATTTTTTTTTTTTTAATTTTTATTTTATAGTAATCAAATCAATACTCATTAATTGCTGTAGACGATGGGTAGTGCTTTTTGACAATTTCCAACAGTATCTATAGTCTAAGGCTTAGATACACTTAAATATATACTCCGTATTTAGTTATTGGCTTAATATTAATTAAGCAATCAAACTGTTTTAATAATGCAAATTTTCGTCACTTAATTATACTTGTTATCACTTTTGGTTCTACAATTGTTTGTGAAGTGGCTCTTTTTTGTCTTGAGTTGTATTATAGTTGGGATTTAAAAATTATTTTTGTAGATAATTGAGAGTCAAAAATAGTCATTTCGCAAATAATTGATAGACGAAAAATGGTGACGATATAACTAAGGGACAAATTATTATTTTTTAAAATAATTTATAGATGAAAATTAGCATTTTTCCTTATAAATTTGTTCTCATAAAACTCCAACTACAAATGACATTAAACGTTCAAGTTAGTCAAATAACTGATTTTACAACTCATTTTATAATAAAATGACAAAATTTGTTTAAAAAAATAAAAAATAAAAAAAAATTAAAGGAGGTGGGCTATATTTATTAATCAAACATAATTGAGAAACCAAAAATATCCTTCTAATAATTATATGGACTTTTATGATATTGTGTTTTAAGATATTGTATTTTATATTTAATTTATTAATTAATATCTCTCATCTTATTATTTAGAAATACTAGAATAAATGTATGTAATGTACAACACCGAATTCTTTCTGAATGATTAGGGAAATTCAATAATTCATAATCACTATTCAATGATTTGTATTAGATAAATCATATTACTGTATAATAATATGAAAATTACATATAAGAAGTAAATCATACTAAAAAGAATATGGCCCTGATTGGTAAAAAAAATGGTCTATAGGCTA